TGTGTGTGTGTGTGTGTGTGTGTGTGTTTGTTTACGAAACGGAGATGTTTCAGCATAAAATTTATGCCCTTCCTTATTGTGTGTGTGCGTGTGCGCACATGAAGTTTTTAACTTCCTCACTAAGGAAAGTCACCAAGACAAATTGTTGCCCTTTGAGATGAATAAAAATAGCTAACGTCTCTTTTATATGAACCATAGACCGTTACTGCCACCATAAAGCGAAAGTATTTGTGATTCGAAATTTTCTAGTATCAAACTTTTCAGTCACAACACATCACCAACAGTTATTACAATGCAACAGCTATAATCTACCTTAACAATAACATCAACAACAACAGCAACAACAACAACAACAACTGCAACGACAGAAACAACAATCACACCCTAAAATAATAGAAGAAATAGGAAAAACAACCAAATAACCAAGGTCACCATCGCTACCACAACAATAACCACAACCACAACTGCAGCCATAACTACAACCATAACTACAACCATAACAATAACAACAACAGCAGCAGCAGCAGCAGCAATAGCAATAACAGCAGCAACAACAATAACAGCAACAACAACAACAACAACAATCGCTCCAAATGGTATAGATTCAATGCCTTATCTACACTATTATCTTCCTTAAAAAAATAACCGAAGAAACAACAAAAAACTAAGGGCACCCCCAAAACCACCACCACAACAACAACAGCAACAGCAACAGCAACAACAACAACATCACCACGTCTAACAACAGTAACAACAATAATAACAACGTTAGCAACGAGAAAACAAACAGCAGGATGAGCTTGCAAAACAAGGCACAGAATGTTTCTAGATCTAGATCTAGATCTAGTTCAATTGCACACTGTCCTGCATGAAACAGCACACAAGGTACAGCCGAGAGGCACAACAGAATAGTTTTAAAAATGTTATGAGCCCTTCATCCGGAACTTACTTTACACAGGGTCTCTACTCTTGTGGTGCCACTTTGAGTCGCCGAAGCGTCACTCGAGAAAGACGATTTATACTTTTTATAACACAATTTTAACTTATTTTAAAAATAGAGGTCTCACTCAGTTGTAGGAGATTTTCACTTTTTGAAAGAATAGACGGAAGATTCTTCTTTTTATTTTTTTTTTATTTTTTACAAAACATTACACTCCATTGAGTTGATTTATGCATTTTGTCATATTAAAATATGACGCACAACTAAAAAAACAACATAACGAACTCAGCATTCCTAATCTTAATGTTTAGACTCACATCAGTGAAAACCTGGACGAGGTGAAAGCCGTAACAGAAATGTTCCCTGACTGCCAGAGCTACACAGATGTTTATGACCAAGCAGGACTCCTGGGAGAGAGAGTTAGTATTATCGTTGTTTGTGCTGTTGTTTTTGTTGCTGTTGTTGCTGTTGTTGTTAGTGATGGTGGCGATGGTGGTGGCGGTGGTAGTAGTAGTAGTGGGGTCGTTGTTCTTGGAAACGTTGTAGCTGTTGTTTTTGCTTTTGTTGCTATTATTGTCGCCGCTGTTGTGGTGGTGGTAGTGATGGTTATTCTCGTGGTGTCGTTATTTTTGGTGTTTGTTGTTGTTGTTGTTGTTGTTGTTGTTGTTGTTGTTGTTGTTGTTGTTGTTATAGTTTTTGTTGTACTTTTTGATATTATTAGGGGGTGGGGTGGATAGTTGATGTCATTGCAGCTGTTGATATTGGGTAGCTGTCGTTGTGAAGTTATGTTGTAATTGTTGGTTTTTATGTTCTTGTTTTTGTCGTTGTTTTTTGTTGAAGCTGCTGCTTTCTTTTCTGTACCAGTATTGTCTCTTGCTCTGAAACATGAACTTTGTGATGTAAACTCCGGAGGTAGTGGTGGTGGTAGTAGTATTAGCGGTAGTAGTAGCAGCAGCAGCAGCAGCAGTAGTAATAGTAACAGCAGCAGCAGCAACAGC